AAATTTATCCAAGGACTAAAAAAAAATCAAGATTCCTGCCAAGACCCAAAACCTTGACAAGGTTTAGTTTAGTTTTAGTAAGAGTTTTACGGCACTTGCAACACAATACGGTCATATAAGTGCCGAAGAATAGATTATGCGTTACAAGAGAGTAACAAACACAAAAAAGAAGGAGGTGAGATGGGGACGACAGATGTTTGATAGAAAAGAAGGAGCAGACCACACCAGAGCACCCGCCAACACCTTGACAAGGGATTCAGTAAATATATACAAAAGAGCCAGGACCTCGTAGCGGACAGACATGAAATCATGAGACACAAAGAACAAGCTGCAATGGAATCTTTATTTCTCTTATGTTATAAACATTGTAGAGAGGGGGACAGAGAGGGAAGAAGAAGAAAAAAGGGATCTTTTTTACAATGACACCATTTGCCTTTTTCACAAGTGGCACATGATGTGGCAAAGATATGAACAAATTATGTACAAAATATATATAATGTATGTATATTTATATATATATATAGAAGTGTACTTTGCATGAACAGACACTTGTAACAACCATTCCGGCATTTAGACAAATGTCATCAAGCATACTCTAGTGGCAAAGTCATGTGACCCAAAACCTAGTTATCACATGACCTTGTCAAAAACAAAAACCATTCTGTCCACCACAAATCCACATGTAGCCCAAGTACAGAACAAAGCACTCTATTGGCACTGTTCTATTAGGGGTGGGGGGAAACAAGAAAAGAAAAGAAAGTTAAGAAGGACATTATTCCCATGATACCAAAAGACAGCAAATTTCAGTCCATTCAAACACACAACATGTAGTAATCATCGTTATCCCCATTTTGATCAATAGTATTGATTTTTTTAATGAACAACCCAGAGCCTCATGAAGATATTATGAGTCACAGATCAAATATTGAATGTAGTAAATCTATATTACACATCTGAGAAATAGAAGAAAAGCTGCATTTTGTAGATAGCTATAGCTATGTCAACACAAACAACAGAAAGTACCATAATAATAAACTAGCACATTCCAGCCAACCTGACAGCTCGAGTCAGCCTAATGAGACCATCATCACTGGATGATACACCCATCATCAATCTTTCTTTCGTTCAAGACACCTCACCCTCTCTCCTTCTTTTTCTCATTCTTTCTTTCCTTCCCTCTCTCCACCTCTTACATTTCATGAACACAAGACATTTCTTGTGAACTCTTCAGAAAACTCATTATTCTGCATATATTTTCCTGTGGTGTAGTAGAGCCAACCAGCGAGAAACAAAGTCATTAAAAAATAATAATTAATGAAACAATTTTTTTTGATGAAAAGAAGAAAAGTTAATAAACTAATATAATAATGCAAAAGAAAATAACATTCCCAATCTTGCATTTGAAGAAAAAAAAATGGCAAAGCAATGAGCACAACATCCACACACGTATGATACAACACAAATCATCATAAGTTAATCTTTATCATAATTACGGGCGATGTGTAATCTTCCATACACACAGGCACAGATCAAGAGATGGTAGGACACCAGGAGAGAGATGACACGACAATTGCATATCTGCAGAACTCTGCAACAAGAGACACAACGCACACACACTAAACACAGGAGAAAGAGATGCATGCTCAACACATGCATTGCTGTACCCACACACTGATGAACTTTTAAGGCAACGGACTCTTAAAGGAGCACACACACCAGACAGATCTCAGAACGCAGGACATGCCAATAAATACAAATTACTCACATTCCTCAAGGACGAATGCATTCGCACATCACATTAATTGACATGAGCAAAAAGAGTTTTTTAAAAATCCACATCCATCCGACCATTACCCTTGCCATAAAAACATATGATTACTTGTAATGGCAAAGAAGAAAGCAAAAGATGTACAGAAAACAAGGGAGAAATGTCACTCCAAATAAGAAAAAGAAACCACAGCTGAAACCAAGGGCAGGTTTTCCCATGCAGTCTTGCTATTTCAACACCTACCATACTTCAGCTATCGCAACTAGTCAGAGACAATAGAATGGCAAACCATACTACTTCAAGAATTGTGCCAGGACCTGAGAGCATACTTATTATCTAAATATAGCTTTCAATGATCGCAGACGTTAAAATTGAAATCATTGCAGATCATGAAAAGACATGAAATTGGGAGATTCTTTTCTCCCGATCTACCCAAAACTATGATGAAATATGACTTCAGCCATAATCATAGCATGCAGACAATACATCAGTTGGGTGAAATAGGAAATCTGAGAAATCCTAAGGTTTACTCATTGTGATACTGACCAGTAATCTTAACAACTTGGCACACTCAGAAACAGTGCTAAGCAGAACTGGCCACTGACAAACTGGGGAAAGCATTTCCCATTTGGTATGACATTTCATGACCCAAACAAACACAGCACCCCCCCCCCCCCCCCCCCCCCCAATCTCTCACACTTATATACACACAAAAAATAAGGGAGCCTCAGCGGAGGGAAAGAAAGAAAACTCCACACGTCCAGAGTCTGACGTAGCATCGTGAACAGAACAAGCTACACATGAATAGTTCCGTCTCTCCGATTACAGGTGAGTTGACAACGGTAGATGAAGGAAAAGGGACCTGATTCTATGTACAAGTTGAGAGTGGCCATGGTTGAAGAAATATTTTACATCTAAGCTTAGTAAGTATAAAATATATGAGCTGACTGACCGAATCGCCACTGAAACGCAAACTGCAATTGTATTTTAAAAAAGGGAAGACTAGTCGAAAGAGAAAAACAAAAACAGGAAACAGAAGATGGAAACAAATGAGTAGTGAGCTACTCTGATAAGACTGGCCCAGGGAGGAAGAATAGACAAAGACAATGGGACTGACACATGAGAGAGGTGAAAGACCATAAGAGCACTGTTGCTCATAGCCACCTAGCAGGTATGTTTTTAGTAAGAGTTCTACGGCACTTGCAACACAATAAGGTCATATAAGTGGCGAAGATTAGAGGTGTTACAAGAGAGTAACAAACACAAAAAAGGAGGAGAGATAAGGACGATGGATGTTTGAAAGGAAAGAAGGAGCAGACAACACCACAGCAACCGCCAACCACCCACCTAGCAGGTATACCTAGGGAGGCCTTCGACTGTCCTACAATAGGGCACTGGTGCATGTCACAGACCTAGCAGCAAACAGCAAAATGGTGCAGAAATTGACTATTCAAACTTGACTTGAGTCAAAAATATAACCTTGGTATTAAAAAAATTCAACAAAGGGAAAAAAGAAAAAGTTCTTTTGTTTTGGCTCAAAGCCGGCAAATCAAACTACGCAAAACGAGGAGAAAAAAATTGATGACCCTTACCTCTAGCAGTAGTTGAGAAAAATAATTGCATTTCTTAGGGTCACAAAAACCCCCCCACAAATTCGCGACTGAACGTGTTAAAAAATTTATGATCTTCATAGATCTCTCAGAACTTTTTCATTCTCATGCGTGTACTGCTAAATTGTAAAAAAGGTGAGAACAACAGACATACAAAATAACAATTCTGCAGAGGTGAATTGGAATCATGGATGGAGAGAAAACACCGGGGAGCGAGAGGAAACATCCACACAGTGACGTGGTAGCCTTGACAACACAGGGGACTGGTAGCAAGGACATGATAACCAAGTAAGAACCCTGTCTGCACAATCTACTTTTTCCTCCTCAGGCAGCGAGTGCACCGACCATCTCAACCCCGTCATTTGGAAAAAAAATTTTAAAAGATGGTATGAAAAACATCCTTACACCAAGCGATTTTTTAAAAAAGTTTTTAACACCAATCCCCAAAAGAACTGCAATTAACCAATTTAAAAAATGGACAAATGGTACCCTCCGCCACAAAAGCAAATAATCCGTCCTTTCACTTTTACTAGTGAAAGTGACTGCAGTTTAAAAATGTCTGCACCAGATTTAAATGTCAACAGCACACTACTGCTGAGATAAGCTCGCTCGAGAGAACTTCTACAACACTCCTTTTTGACCACCAAAGTCACAAGAGGGGTCAGAACCAACCACTCATCCCCCCCCCCCCC